TCAATTACAGAAAGATATTTGGAAAATTCTTAAATCACTGGAAAGTAACAACAGATATAAAAGCAATCCTTAGGTCAAATATGAACTCACAAAGGAAATTAGAAAATATTTTGAACAAAATGAAAATAAAAATACAACACATTGAGATTTCTGTGGAGCCTTCATAATGGTTTGGGGGTGGCATGGAAGTCACATTTAAATGGAAGATATATCTAAAATTAATGATCTAAGCTGCCATCTTTTTTAAAAAAATAGCTAAAACCAAAGTGAAACATAAAAGAAAATTAGAGATAAAATCAGTAATTAAAATACAGAAATCAATAAGGACATCAACAAAGTGAGGGGGAAAGTTAGTGGTTTTAACAGACCAATAAAATCAATAAACCAAACTGATCAAAGAAAACAATTACCGATATCAAGAATGAAACATAGCCTGGCATGATGGCACAAGCCTGTTAAATCTTAGCACTCTGAAAACTGAGGCAGGAGGATCACAAATTTCAAGAGTAGTCTGGGCGCCACAGTGAGACCTGGACCCCTACAAACAAAACAAGTTAGGAAGAGAGCATCAACTATAGGTCTGACAGCAGTGCAATGTGATAAATTCATTTATATAGGTGGAGTGGTCAAAGCCATTGAACAAAAGAAGCAAACAGAGCTCTCTCAGGAAGAAATAGATATCCTTAACAGTCCTCTAATTCCTTAAAGAAATAGAATTTGTAGTTACAACTATTTCAACAAGGAAAACCCCAGACCTGTGTGAAGATACTGCCAAATTTTGCCACATATTTAAGGAATTCATAGTATTGATTAAAAGTAAATATCTCTTGAATATATAAGAACAAGAAACATTTTTCAAATCATTTGTGAATCAGCTTCACTAGACAAAGAAAACTGCAGATCAGTGTATCTCAAAACCAGCATGTCTGCCAATGGGGCCAGAGAGACAGCTCAGCAGTTAAAAAAGCACGTGTTGCTCTTGCAGAGAATTCAAGCTCGAGTCCCAGCACCCACCTGATGCTCACAAACACCCATATCTCCAGTTCCATGGGATCCGATGCCCTCTTTTGACTTCCTTGGGGACCAAGCAGGCATGCAGTGCATATACATACATGCAGGAAAAACACTAACACACAAAATAAAAATGAATAAATATTTTTAAAAATTCATATCAACAAAAATTAAATATTACTGCTCTAGCCCAGCAATATATCAGAATGACAGAACATAGGTGAAGCAGATTTAACCCAAGGCTGAAAGGATGATTCATCATTTTCCAAATCATTATAAGGCATTGTGTCAACAGACTTAATAAAGAAAAACCATACGGTCATCTCAAAGATGGGGGTGGAAGATAGTTAGTGGTTAAAGTGCTTGCCATGAAGCATGGGGACCCAAGTTAGGATACCCAGAAACCACATAAATGCTAGGTGATCTTGGCAACCTCCCTGTAACCCCAGCCTTGGAAGGTGGAGTGAGCTGGCTAGGGAGACTAGCCATGTGGCTAAGTTCCTGGTTCAACTGACAGATCCTGCTTCGAAGAATAAGATCAAAGAGCTCTGGAAGATGATATCCGACTTCAACTTCAGGCCTCCACATGCATTCACACACATACGAACGTGTTTATACACACACATGAACATGGAAAAAAAAAGTAGATGGAGAAAATGTGATAAATTCAGCACTCATTTGTGATTTAAAAACAAAATGTTTTCTAAGGAACTAAAGAGAACTTCTCAACATTATGAAATGTCAGTTCTATTTGCGCTCAACAACCATCCAGAACACAACAAGCCACATTTATCCCACAGGTTTTAGGTCTAGGTATCCTGGTGACTCAGGGGGATCCTCAGGTCCTCTGGCTCAAGGTTTCACGAGTTGAACTGAAGTTGTCAGTGGTGGTTGGAGACACCTTAATAGATTTACTTTCTCAAGAACGATTGTCGTAGGCCCTCAGCTCCTCTCTGCCTCTTGGCCTGTCATAGCCTGTCCTTTCCATGGTTCACTCACCTGTCGCCCAGCTTTCTTCAGAGCACGTGAGTGAGGGCACCCTGGGTAGAAGTCATAATCTCGTAAGTGGCATCCCATCACTCTATCACTACATAGACATACACATGGTTTCTCAAGTAGTGGGTTGTGTAGCTGAACTGGGGGGAGATGGTGTCAAGAAAAAGACTGGGAATAATGAAAGATTTCTGAATGCATGACCACCAAATGTTAATTGGAAATCAAACAAATAACAAATCCTAGGTGTCTCTGAGAGTGCTCAACCTGTGGAGGATCATGCCATTTCCTTGCAGCCTGTGCTCTGAGCACACGGTGTGCATGCACCATGAGCACCGTCACTGTGCTCAGTAGGAACCAACACCTGAAACACCTGCACTCATTAGGACTCTTGCCTGTGACGAGCACAGCACTTTTTCTGTAAGGATTTGACGGTCTAATTGTAGGAAAACAAACACTTTGAATACTTTGCTGTAGTTCTTTGGCCTTTAAGTATCCAATTAATATCACACCAACTTGCATTGTTAGAACTCTTTTTTAAAATCACTGTTTGAATTACTGACCTGAGTTTCTTTTTTGTTTGTTTGTTTGTTTTGTTTTTGTGGGTTTTTTTAATGCCATTAAATGAATTTTGGCTTGGTATTTAGAACAAGTTTTCCAAGAATTTTTGAAATGTTCCTAACATATTTCTACTAGCACACAGCTACGCAAAATACTGTCTTGGTGCTGTGTCTGGTAAAATCCAGGTATTGATCCACTCTTAAAAAATGTTGAAGATACTCTCACAGCATTAAATGTTCTTCATGTGAAAACAAACAAGAATGTCCATTTTGTCCTTAGTAAATTATAAAATTATATAGATGCCAAAGAATCGCTCTGTGTGTGTGTGTGTGTGTGTGTGTAGTGTGGGGGGGCGGTTGAGACAGGATCCCACTTAGCCTTGGGCTGGCTTCAACAGCCTGTGTCATCTAAGAAGTTGACTTTAAACTCCTGATCCTCCTGCCTTTAGCTCCCAAGTGTTAAGTTTACAATAACATGCCTGGTTCTCAAAGAATATTTTAAATTTAAATTAAACTTCTCCATGATTTAATTTCAGAAAGCGTCTAATTTGTAAACTTCCTTTATACACCTATATGCCTTTATACACCTATAGGCTAGGTCCAAAAAAAGTCTCTTATAAAAAAGGGGACAGAGTGGGTAAAACTTAAGAAGACCTGTTCCTGGGGAGGAAAGTCCATAAGGATGGATACAACTGTCAACAGGCAGGGTCGTTAAGGAACCTCTTAGAGGCTGCCTACAGCAAGCTAAATAATAATAAAGAATTAAAAGATAGCCGGTATCGTGCTTACTGATGTAAGACCACTTTCAGCAACAATACAAGGGGTGTGCCACTCCCAGTATCACACTAATGAACCCACCCAGTGAAAAGAGAAACAAAGCCAAACAGATTAAGAAAAACTAACATGGTCCCTATTTCGTTGTCTATACAAAAATCCCAAAGAACTTAAGTTTCTCAGAACCCTGATGTGGGAACACATCCAGAGGGCAAATAAGAGTCAGATTCCTATTAAAACCATTACAAGTCATTCTGGATGGCTAAAGTCAAAGGGATGGCATGGGGACATTGCTATGGGAAGGTAAATGGAACAGCCCGAGATTACGTTTAGGTGGTTACGTGCAAAAGATAAATTTGATGTGCAACCAGCAGTCCTCCTCTCCTAAGAGTTTCCCCGGGGGGAATGAAAATAATACGTTTGCAGAAAGGGCTATGCATTGCAGCTAAAGTGGCTTCATGTACAATCACCCCAAACTGGAAACAATATTCTTCAACCAGGTATGAATAAACAAACACCGGCATATTCGTACAGCAGAAGGCTACCCCACCATAAAAAGGAAGACACTGGTGATAAATGCAAGAAGTGTGTGAATCTCAGATGCATTCTGTGAAATGAAACGCGTACTCTCAAAAACTGTGCAGTGTATATGATATTCTGGGAAAGGATTGGGATTCGCATTTGCACCCGATGCCTGGGAGCTTCCCAGACCACCACTATACCATAGTACTCCTTTGCCAGGCGGCCACCATGCCCTGTGTGCCCAGCCCCAGCTTATTCCTGAGCTACGTGCAGATTTGCATCGTTCCTTGGCGAGTGCTGACCCGGTTTCGCAGTCATTTTCTCTGCTGAAATCCTTTTGCCAGTGCACACGCACCTTGACGCCTAGTGTAAGGGATGAAAGGACTAAGTGTTCAGGCTACCACTGCCGCTGTCGCCATGCTCTAACAGGTTCAATAAGGAGCTGACCGGGGAAATCAAGGCAGGCTCTGCACTGCGCCAAGGCCCCACTGCATAGGGTGGGGGGGGGGGGGAAGGCCAACCTCGCTCCCTCGATTGCCTCTCTCATTCATTTTCTGAAGCTGCAGCACCGGGCAGGACCCCGCCAGGGGTTCACAGGCGCGACACCAAGGAGTGACAGATGTAAGGTAAGGACCTGGCCACCGTAGCAGGAGCAGGCTGCTGGGAGGGCCCGGGTGCACCCGCAGACGCTCCACGCTGTGCCTTCCACGATCTAAATCCTGCGGACATGCAGAGCGGGATCTGGGACCCCGCCAGGTGACTGCGGGCACAGCTAGGCGGAGGGCGGCCCCGCCCAGCCGGCGCTGTTCCCATGGGGATCGCAGCGGCAACCCAGCCGGGCTTCAGGCGGCTGGGCACGAGCTGGGCCAGGAGGCGCGGGGAGTAGGGGCCGGAGGTCCCTGCGGGCCCCAGTCGCCCTGGTTACCAGCCAGGTGTCCTCTTCCGGAGGGAAATGAGACCCGAAATTAGAACCGGGGAATCCCTTCGCCTTCGCGACGCTGCAGCCAGCTCAAGTGTCTTAGATCGTATGAACCATAACGTTAAAAAGATAGATTATCTTACAGCTCGTCTCGTTTTAGGACGATGGCAGCCTCTTTAGCTAGACGGAATGAAGCAGACAGTTGAAATTGGGTCACCCGGCAGCCACCTGTAGGCTCCCAGCCTTTACCGCGATGTGATGTCATTGCTGGGGGGTGGAGCCCGCACCTGGCTGGTCCTAATTCTATAACTAGGGCCCTTGTTTTCTCTAGATCCTGGACCACAGCCCCCTGCTTGATGGGGCTCGAGAGGGGTCCGCCGCCCACGTATTTCTTAAACAACGTTTAAAGACTATATGACAGCCCATTCTCAAGAAGACTTATTCCTCCGTGATGGAGAAATACGAAAAAATTGGGAAGATTGGAGAAGGCTCCTACGGGGTGGTGTTCAAGTGCAGAAATAGGGACACGGGGCAGATCGTGGCCATCAAGAGGTTTCTGGAAACTGAAGATGACCCTGTCATCAAGAAAATCGCCCTTCGAGAAATCCGCATGCTCAAGGTAGTTGCTTCGCTTTTTTCTGGGTTAGATAATGCTGTGGGATGTGGTTAGCCCCTTCCTTCACAGCCTCGTGTCCTCAGCGACACAAACCCGAGTCTGTGCGCAGAGAACCGATTATGTAAGAATGCAGGGAAGCTGAAGAGGAGAGGTGTGGCAGCCCTCACATGTAGAGAAACCGAGGTATTTTTTCTCCCCCAGTCACTTGTCATCTCTCATCTTGTCTGCAGTCCCTGATATGAAGAATGTAAAACAACTCAACTTTGTTAGAGTACTTGAGTTTTAAGCTTCCATCTGTTTTCTATTAGCATTTTAAATCCATTTTCCTGTTTTCGTGGCCAGTGTATGCTTCTGTATGTGCTCACATGTGTGTGGGAACATGTGCTAGGCATGCTTGCCTCTGTATCTCCCTCCGTGTCCTCCTAGCACACTCCGTGACACCTGCTAGGCTCTCAATAAATGTTCTTATTGAATTTTCTTTTAGGGTTAATATAATAAACTCTTAAAGAAAAGTAGGTGAAATAGGTCAATCCTGATGGAGTGAGAATCAGTTCCCCCAAGTTGACCCCTCACCCCCACGTTGCTCTGTAGCATCTGCGTGTTCCACAGTACCAAAATAAATAGAAATGTAATCTAGAAAAAAAAAGAAAGAAAGAAAGAAAAGTGAGGAGTGTGATGAAAATGGTAGAGACTGTGTTCTCAGCTGAAAACCCGTGTGTCCAGGAGCTGGAACTGTGCAGCAGAGCTGATTTCAAAGCAGGGAGCCACCCCCTTCTAAACTCAGTGTTTTCTCTCTGCTCTATACAAGGTGGTAGGAGATTACTGATTCTCTGTCCCTTTAATTCTGGCTCTTCAAAATAACACGATATTCCTGATATCTAGTGTGTTCTTGGTGCGTATTTGGTAGCTAAGTGAATCGAGGGTTTGTTAAGTGAACTCACATTTTCTTCATTGACCCGGTAAATTCTCACTGGCCCTGACTGTGCCTAAAAGAGGGTTGTGCAGAGTTGTTCTCAAAGCTCAGCTCTCAGAAGGTAGGTGAAGTGAGATTCAACCCAGTCTCACTTCTGCTATACTGAGGTCCCAGTGCACAGGGCCTGCATCACTGCCTTGTGTCCCCAAGGCTGGCAAGAGCTCTTCTGGTGCAGTTGAGTAAAGAAAGCAGGCTGACCCATTGAAGAAGCAAAACAGTGGCTTGAGGCAGGAAATGGAACTTTAACCATCATGCTTTCCTCCTGAACAGCCAAAATATTTTTATTTATTTGTTTGTTTGTTTGTTTGTTTTAGAGACAGGGTTTCTCTATGTAGCCCTGGCTGTCCTGGAACTCTCTGTAGACCAAGCTGGCCTCAAACTCAGAGATTCCCCTTGCCTCTGCCTTCCTAGTGCTGGGATTAAAGGTGTGTTCCACCACTGCCTGGCCTACCAAGATTGCTCTTTATTAAAAGGTTGTCCGTTGCAGACTTTTGGACTTATGGATCATTGAAGTTTCAAAACATATCTTTTTTTCTTTAGCAATTGAGGTAGTTATCAGGATTTCTCAGACTCCTGTTAAGTATTTGGATCATAGTCTCACACATCATGCTGTGTTTTCTCTTTCCATTCTTTGAAACAGGGTCTTATGCTGTAGACCAGGCTAGCCTTGAACTCTGTGCTAGAGAATGAACCCAGGGTCTCTCATGAACCAGTCAACTGTTTTACTCTGTGTTATATCCTCAGTCCAGTCAGGACTTAACAACAACAACAACAACCAAGCTAACTATTTTACTCTCATAACAAAATCTTCTTAAAAGATCAAACACTTTATTTTATTAAGATTAGATTTACACTTCAGTGAAGTGTGACCAGAGAGCTTTAAGATGAAATAAACTCCTCATCAAAAAAAAAAAAAAAAAAAAAAAATCCAAAAAAACAGACACATTAATAGTAAAGTAAAAACTGGAAAAGATAACCTTTGTGGGAAACATGACTTTCCTGAGAGAGAGAAAACAATTGGCAGTAACATCTATCTTTCTCTTTACCATGCATGACATTTTGGGTGCCTGCGTGTGTGTGTGTGTGTGTGTGTGTGTGTGTGTGTGTTGCAGGGCCCTTTCTTAGCTTCACTATTCATCAATGAAACTGTGGCTTCATTTGTCTAGTGCACTATAACCCTCATGACTGTTAATACTAAATCTGGGGGCAAAAGGATTCCCAGATCAAGTACTGTCCTACACAGAGACTGTGAAACAAAATATTGTTTGTGCGGTTCCAGTTGCCTTTGCTAGATGGTCCCTGGAATTCCATGTTGTAACAGAATTGGGAACTCCTCGTGTAAATCTTTTCCAGGCTCTGCTTCACAATATAAAGTAAGGCCCACTAACGGCCACACACGTCCTAAGACTATAGTTGTTTCTTTGTAAACAGATGTAACTGTGGGAGGTAATTGTCTAGCAACCAGCTGGGTGGTTTTAAAGGCCATACCTCTTCCAGAATTTCCTTTAGGGTGTGAAGTCCCATCAGGAAGCTATAGCCAGGGGATTATAATATCAAGAGCTCTCTATCTTACTAAGTTTTTTTTTTTTTTACTAATGTATGTGTGTGTGTGTGTGTGTGTGAGTGTGTGTGTCTGTGGGCCTGTGTGTGTGTGTCTGTGTGTGTGTGTTTTCTCTAAAATCTGGAAACACTACAAATAGCATTATTTCATGCCAACTGGAGAGGGGAAAGTATGCCTCTTTTTTTTACAAAACAAATTTGTTTTTATAATGATATACCACTATCTAAAAAAGAAGCAACCCTGTGCTCACCAAGACTCTCTGTGAGTCAACTCTCCAATTTTCAATTGGGAGTTTCCTAGATTATATAATCAAGCTTATAAAGAAAGAAAGAAAAGGTGACTCTGTCTCCTTAGAGCAGTCGGCAGCACTGTTGTCTCATAAAATTACAAAAAGCAAACAACTACTCTGCTAAAAATTGTCCTCTGGAGACAAGTTAATACCATTCTTGTGATAGGAGTAAAATTGTGCTATGGTTCATTAGCTCAGTGGACCTCTTTCAGATCTACTTTCTATCATATGAAGAAAAGAATGAATTACACTCAGCTGGTTCTTTTGGAGAGATGTTTGTGCACAAGATAACTGGCATGTGTTTAGCACGCATTTGCAGAACTCTGCCATACCCCAGGCACTGTTCTTGGCTGCTGCCCCTGTGGACTTGTATCTTGGCAAGAGAGAACATCAATAAACAAGTTTGTACGTGGTAAAACCCAAAGCAGGATCAGGGGAAAGGGCAGGGGCTGTGGAATTCAAACCCGTTCTATAACTTGGTTTTAAACATGTTAAAGACAAATTGCATGGCAGGAAGAGTGGTCATGAAAGTAGCCTGAAGTCAGAGAGGGAAAGGTCTCTAGTAGTTGCAGATACCTTTAATCCCAGCAGAGGTAGGCAGATCTCAGTGAATTCGAGGCCAGCCTGTCTACAGAATGAGTCCCAGAACAGCCAGGGCTACACAGAGAAACCCCGTCTTGAAAAAGAGAGAGGGCAGGGGAAGGAAGGGAGAAAGAGAGGAAGAAGGGAGGGAGGAGGGAAGGAAGAGAGGGAGGGAGAAAGGAAGGGAGGGAGGAAGGAAGGATAACAGAAAAGGAAATCATGTAAATCACAAAGCCGGGCATTAGACTGGGGAGAGGGCACAGTGGGTAAAAGTGCTTGTTACATAACTGCTAGGACTGGAGTTGAATTCCCAGAAACCACAGAAAGAAAAAAAAAAAAAAAAAAAAAAAAAAAGAGCAGATGCTTAGCAGACCACCTAGAATCCCATTAACCCCTACAGGGAGATTGGCATTCTCAGAATCCCTGTCTCACACAAGGTAGAAAGCGTGATGTCTTCCTCTGACCTTCAAATGTGCACTGTGGCACAGGCAAATGAACCCACATACACACATGTACACAAAAAGGTCCAGATGTCATGTGCTAGACCATCAGGGGCCCCATGGTGCGAAGAGGCTTTGCATGGGATACATGCAAGCATATAAATGTGCTTAACCCATCCCAGCCCTGTTCCGCCATCACATGCCCAGTGACACGAAACTGCCCACTCCTGCCCACTCTGCTGCTGCACTATTCGCTATAGGGTAAAATTGTAGAGCTGTTGAGAGAGGAAGGAATCTATCCTATCCAACTTGATAGAACAGATGGCCCTGGGGCAGTTGGAAATCAAAAACAGGAGAGTGTGACTGTGGTGTCTGCGTTACCTACCTCCAGCAGGTGCTACAGGGTAACAGAATAAGCTAGACTACCTTCAGTCAAACCTCTAGAAGTACAGCTAGGACCCGGTGACAGCATCCTCTCTCTCTCTCTCTCTCTCTCTCTCTCTCTCTCTCTCTCTCTCTCTCTCCAAGAAAATGAGATTAAAGTAGATAGGGGCATTGCACATTTTCAGTTGGCAGGTAGGTTCAGACTTGGCTGAACTGCTGGAAGTGAGTACCTCTGGAAGTAGCTACTGTGTCCTGTTTTGTATATTGGTTCAGGGCAGTGAATGGTGTGCCAGAGCCCTCCTAGACAGGAAGCTGGAATATAGACCCAGCTCTGTCCACCCCTAAGACCCAGCCCTGCCGCTTTCACGTGTCAGCCCCACCAACTTTGCAGCCACACCATCTATTTTGTCCTGTCTCCTGCAGGGCCTTCTCTGTGTGGCTTGTGGCTCCCACGGAAGCCTGAGCATAGGTTGGGAATGAGTACAGGGGGAATGGGGCTTCCTCACAGTCCTCTAGAGACTTTTTTGTTTTGTTTTGTTTTTGTTTTTTGAGGCAGAACTGTCCTGGAACTAGCCCTTGTAGACCAGGCTGGCCTGGAACTCACCCTCCTGCCTCTGCCTCCCGAGCGCTGGGATTAAAAGCATGTGCCACCAACACCCTTCTGAGATTTCTTTTAAGAAGAAAAAGTTACTATTTGTTACCAGCAGAGATGAGAATTAAGTGTGGGAGGGGCGTGTTCGTCTGAAACTTTACTGTGGGCTGGAGATGTGGCTT